GGTAGAGTTGAGTCTGTTATTGAGGTTGTAAAAACGCTGTAACACCTCTTTTTTCCTTTCTATCGTCTAATAAAAATCCGGCAAAAACTTTTTGTCGCCTTTCGGAAAAAAAAGGAATTCTCTGGTGCCTCCTGTATCGGCGATGGCTTCGTTGGGTTCTTTTTTTGGCACCACCTGCGACTGCGCGAATTAGAAATTGGGCTATCGTTATTGAAGCAGAAGCAATTTTCATTTGCAATCCACGATGCTTTGTCATCTTCTTTTACGACTTCAACTCCCTCATGCATAGTTATCAACTCTTGCTTCTAATCACTGTAATTTTCTTTTCACGCCCAAGAAGTCCAAACCTGGGTACCAAAGCAACGAAATTACAAATGGTAATGCTCTTGTACGAGCGTCTGGAGGCCGATAAAAATATTGAACATAGGTCTGACACTCTTTCAACATCGATCTCTTTTCTCCCTGTCCACTCATTCTTATCTACGCTTTTCACCACACATCAGCCTCTTTCTAGTTCCCACTAGTATGCACCAAAATAGACACTCGTTGATCTCTCCCTCCCTCTCCTCTCTCTTTTGTGTTCCCATGGCGCAGTAGCCCTTCAAGACGGCAGCGCTTGAGCCGGTGTGGCATAGCATGGATCCTTCAATGGGGTCCCTCCCTCTTCCTCATTCATGAACTACTTCATGGTGGGAGCATCCTCTCGCTCGTCCATGGCATGATACATGGAGGTGGGACGGCGGTGTTGCAGGGGAGAGGGCGACTCTACTTCACCCCGCGCGCGGCGCCCTCCCTACCCTCGGCGGTGCCCTCTCTCACCTCGGCAACCGAGCTCCCTCCACCCCGGCTATGGTGCTCCTCGCCTCCCATCCCCCACCGTCGTCACCGGGCCAAGCCCGGTACTGGTAGCGCTGGTGGCGGTGGTGCTCGTGCGCCGCCGCTCGCCGCCGGCTCAGACCTCGACGGCTGGAATCGACCGGCCCATGCTTCCCTTCCCATATATTGCAAATGTATGTTTCAGTCGTTTCAAAGGTATGTTGCAGTTGTGTAAGGTCGAGATGGTGGACTAGAGGGGGGGGGTGAATAGTCCTTTCTAAAATTAATCGCGTCGGCTAACCGAAACAAGTGCGGAATTAAAACTATCGGTCTAGCCAAGACTATACCCCTTTATTTATGTTCTCTAGCACCTTCCAAGGATACTAATTAAGCAACAAAGGTGCCGGGCTAGCTAGAGCTCACCTAACCAATTCTAGAAATAAGGTCACACAAACCTATGCCACTAGTACTTCAAGCAACAAGGAGCTCCTACACAAGCTAGTAAGCAAAAGCACAAAGCCACCTAAGCTCACTAGCAATGCTCAATAACAAGACAACTAATGTCAAATTAGAGTGCACAAATACTTAGCTACACAAACTAAGCAATGTGACTAACAAGGTTACACAAACCAAATTAGCCACGTAAGGGAGCTACTTCTATGCTACACAAGCAAGAAGGTAACTAGTAAGCTACATAAGCTAACTAATTACAAGAGCAACTACACAAGCACAATGTATATGAAATATAAATACAAGCTTGTGAAAGGGGATTGCAAACTAACGGGAAGAACAAGGTTGACACGGTAATTTTTCTCCCGAGGTTCACGTGCTTGCCAACACGCTAGTCCCCGTTGTGTCGACCACTCACTTGGTGGTTCGACGGCTAATTGGCATCACCCGCCAAGCCCGCACGTCGGGCACCACAAGAACCTACCCCGAAAGTGAGGGTAGCTCAATGACACGCTTTACTAGAGTTACTCTTCGCGGCTCCCGAGGGGCGAGCACAATGCCCCTCACAAAGCTCTTCTCCGAAGCACCGCACAAGCTTCTTGCGGGCTTCGACGGAGACCACCACCAAGCCATCTAGGAGGTGGCAACCTCCAAGAGTAACAAGCACCACCGGCTTGCAACTCGATCACCTAGTGCCACTCGATTCAACCTCACGATGCAATCGTACTAGAATCGCTCACTCACACAATCGGATGATCACTATCAAGTATATGTGAGATGGAGGGCTCCCAAGCACTCTCAAGCATGGACACAAAGTCCCCCGAGGTGTTTAGCACCAGCCATGGCCGAGACACCCTTCTATTTATAGCCCCACGGGCTAAACTAGCCGTTACCTCTTCACAGGACGTTTTTCGGGTTGACTGGACGCGCCGGTCATATCGACCGGACGCAGGACCACAGCGTCCGGTCAACGGATGCTCGCCACGTGTCGCCACCGTTCAACCTCAGTTGCTTGATCTCAATGGTCAAGTGATGACCGGACGCAGGAACCCCAGCGTCCGGTCGTTTCTAGTAAGGTACTAGCCGCGACCGAACGCGTTCGGTCGGTCACGATCGGACGCAGCATCAGCGTCCGGTCCTTTTCCACCTTCTCTACGTTGCCTACGTCACCGTACGTTAGCCTGACCGGACGCACCCTGCTAGCGTCCGGTCACTTTCAGCGCCAGTGTCCGGTAGAAGACCGATGCCTGCACGCTCTCTGCTGCCACTGACCGGACGCAGGACCCCAGCGTCCGGTCGCCACGTGGCTAGCGTCCGGTCTACTCTGTGAGACCCTGTCTTTTCTATATAGGGCGCCGGTGGCACCGTCGGACTATCCGCACTCTACGAGCGGACACTCCACCGGTGGAGTTCCTAACCCTTCTCGCCTCCATTTCATCACCGAGTTGATCCACATCAACTCCAACTTCATCTCCTTTATAAATGTGCCAACACCACCAAGTGTACACCATCATGTGTATGTGTGTTAGCATTTTCACAATCATTTTCTAAAGGATTAGCCACTCAACTTGCCATGCCACTCAATCCTAGTGACGATGCAAAGTTAGATCACTCGAGTGGCACTAGATGACCGATATGCAAACAAGTTTGCCCCTCTTGATAGTACGACCATCTATCCTAAACCCGGTCATCAACTTCTCTACACACCTATGACCGGTGAAATGAAATGCCCTAAGTTATACCTTTGCCTTGTGCATTCCATTCCATCTCCTCCAATGTCGATGCAACACATGCACCAACATGATCAACAATGATATGATCCACTTCATATCATCACGTGATCATATTGGTTCATCGATCTTGACTTCACTTGCTTTTCACCGTTGCCTTCGTCCATCGGCGCCAAGTCTTGCTCAAGCTTCACCGCCACGCGGTCCATCGCTCCAAAGCCTCCGACTTGTCCTTCACGCTTACAACCGGTCCATCAAGCCAAGTCTTGTCTTGATCTTCTCCACCTTGATCACATGACTCAATGTCATGTCTCATGTGCAATGAGCTCATTCATCATCATATGTGTGAGCTTTGCAACATCTCCAAGCCATTTTCGCCTTCATGGCATATGTTGCTCACACACATGTACCTGTGGACTAATCACCTGTGTATCTCACATAAACACAATTAGTCCACCTAGGTTGTCACTCAATTATCAAAACCACACAAGGACCTTTCAAGTTGTTTCTTATGGATGTTGCAAAAGTAGATCGGGGGATGTTGAACATGTTGCATATGTTGGAAGTGTTCAGAGGCATGTTGCAAGCGCTTATTTAAAATGTTTCATCTATTTCAGACGTATGTTGCAAGAGTTTTTATCTGGATATTACATATGTTTTACAGCTATGTTGCAAGAGTTTGCTCGAAATGTTTCAATTGTTTCAGTCTTATGTTGCAATAAGTGTTTTCATGTTGCAATTTGCAAGTGTTTTATCTGGATGTTGCATATGTTTCACACACAAGTTGCAACTGTATGTTCCAAATGTTTCATCTGCTTGAGTCATATGTTGCATCCAAGTGTTTTATATTTCAGATGTAGAGAGTCCTGGCACACGACCTAGGCACCGGGGGATGGGGAGCGACAGCGCACCTAGGATCATGCGGACAGGACATGCTCGTCCTCATGCCGACTCTTGGGTCCCGCCCGTCCAAAGATAGAGGGGGGTCAGGGGGAAGGAGCGGCGGGCGCGGCGTTTCCCACAGTCGTCCGGACTCACAGTCGTAGAGAGAGAGAGAGAGGAGGGGTGTGGGGGTGCCAGGGAGAAGGAGCGGCCGGTGCAGCCTTTTCTGCATGTGCGCGTAACGAAGGTGGTGCGGACGTCCGGACAAACGCTTTTGCCCTAACGCTAGTATCTTTCGATTACAAAAGCAACAAGTGCAAAGTTCAAGCACGGCCTCTAGAGCGGAAATGGAATGGAGGCGTGGCTGGGCCCGGCCCTCGTCGCATTCGCACGGCGTGTGTGGCAGCGGGGCCCGGCCCAGTCCGTCCTTGCTTCAGGGCGCAATCGCTCGCAGCCGCAGGCACCGGTGGGCGGTGGCACTGTGGCAGTGCCAGTGGTGGAAAACAAACTTTTCAGCCCCCGACCCCCACGTTGAGCCATTTATCAGCATCCGCATGGGAGCTGCAGAATATAACCCCTATATCCCATACTACAGGCAACAGCAATGCAGATTCACATATAAATGTTACAAGCTAGCTTAACAACTGCGTACTCCATAGCACTGTTGTCCTCTACAGCAACATTAGTACTTAAAACGACTTTCTACGGTTAAGCAGCCGCGGATTGCAACCTCACACTCACAGGTCAGCTATGTCCACTAAAGTTGCAGTAAGCAGGCTACAGATCATAATTCTGGCAGTAGCTCAGAAGATGTCTAGCATCTTCAAGGGTGCTTTCAGTCAGTGAGGCGTCTTCTTCGCCCAGGGAGGACTTCTCCGCAATCCACCTCTCCATGACACAGCAGATCGCCCTGAGCTGTTGATTATTTTTAGGATAGGAAATACAATGTGGTGCTGCTCCAATATGGTTCGCCATGTTTGACGTGTTAAATTTGAGAAAGTGAATAAATACTTCTATATCTCCATGAAGCCGTTATGATTTTTCTCAGGAAAAATAAAGCAAGTTATTTTGTTGGGAAGGAAGGATACAGATGTGGATACCCCATGCTTCAAGTAAGTGTCCTCAGCTGACAACTCTTTTTTTGTCGACTCTGTGGCTTTCAAGGTCATCTTTAATGTGTGCGAACCTGCTAAGCAATAGAGATACAAATTGCTCGAGAGATGAAGAGGTCATATCGATTTGTTGTGCTTGTAACAGCAAACATGCTAAGATACACCAGAGAGCATTCCGGGCTTGGTTATCATCAGAGACCAGTGGAAGAATGTCAAAGAGGCCCTCCAGGAAGGGTAAATCTGAATGCATAAACCAGAGTGTGGTAATAGTGTGAATACAAACATGGTTTTAAATTGTAAGATGCATTGTTCATAAATGTGACCCACCATGAGAGAGCCTAGGCACAATATGCTTTCCATCTGACAAAATATTTGCTAATACGATAACCACAGAAGCGCAATAGCTTGTAACCTGAAGCAGAGTTTGCAAATTTAACACCATTAACATATTTTTGTCGCATATTAAATATATAGAACTTTTGGTATCTCACAGAGTATAAAATATTCAAGAAGCAAGAAAATTACTGAGTGGAAAAAAGAGAACTTCATATTTATGAACAATGGTTGGCATCTTGGTGGGTGGGTCATGTTGCGTTTCATCTCTGATCTACCCCAACTTGCTTGAGACTAAAAGACTTTGCTGGTATTGTATACAAGTTAGTTTCTTACACTGAAACAATGAAATTACCAAAGAGGCAAGACGCAAGAGCATCAAACCAGACTGTACAGGATGAACAAGACATGGTGAAATAAATGAAATGGGAGCTCACCTCAAATTTATCAGGTAACTTAACTATGCTTTCAAGCACTTGAATCAGCTGATCACTTTGTGACATCACTCCTGAACAGCTGTCTATGGCAGATAATTCTTCAATGAAAATAAGGATCAAATCAAGAGAATCTGACCTGAAATTTGTTCATAAAGTGTATATTGATAATACTGCATTGATATCCCAGGTTGTTAGCTCAAAATTAAACTAACAAAGCTAATAACAAGGACAAACGACTACAACTGTCAAAGAATTATGTATCAAGATTAAAAGCAAAATTAGAATACAAGTGGACAATTCTCACATCAATCTATAAGAAAATAAGAAATGCCTTCAACCCAGACAAAGGACCTTAGAGGCTTGTGGAAATGCTTTAAGTTTTGGATTTTGGTTGGAGCATAAAATCCTCATATATAGATCTTCATAACATCAGATAAGCATACAGTTCGCTCTTATTAATTAATAAATCCCCCCTTTTTGGTGAAAGGTTGAGGTTACCAAGAACAAAATTCAATATGTGCAAATATTATGTCATGAAATATGGATATACTGAAGTTAGTCCATTGCGCAGGAATACTATTCACCATACCTGTCTAATTTACCCTCATTTGATGACTTTTCAATCTCACTTGCTAACAGACTGATAGTGTGGTTAATCAAACCCACTTTTATAAATGGCTGAAGAAGAATGGCGGTCACATCTTGATTATCAATGACAGTTGACAGAAAGTCTTTGACCTGCAACCAACAATTAGCCAAAAAAGAAGAGAAACCACAAATTTGACCTTTTAGTAAGCAAGCTGCAAAAATAGATACCCTGAGATAGTTTCAACTGAACCCCATAACAGTAAGGTAACAACAATTTTGTCTAATGGCTAAAAGTTATATAAAATCAAGTATGCATATACATACTATTGGCAGCTACGAGTAATAAAACCAAGAGTGATCATAAATAAAAGGCAACTATAATTTGTTTGGATGCTTTAATAAACACACTATAACAGTGATCAAGAAGACTGTATCATTGCAGTTGGCAGGTATGCAATAATCAATAGAAATCACTGTAATGTCCTCTTAAGTCTTAACGCTGCATCATGATATAGTAGGCTCATAGAGAACTAAAACACAAACACACATACCTAATTGTCATCTAGAAAAAGGATAAACAAAGAGAAATACATAAAACATTAGAAGCGGTTGCCATACAGTTTTCTACTATAAGCAGTTTACATAGTCTTGCTGCTAACACTGCATCTCCTGCAAGTGGAATGGAGAAAACACAGGAGCTTGGAAAGTTCTTTTTGTAGCTACTAGTTTCATCTTATATGGATCTGGTGAATGTGGGCTGTGATGAATGGCTCTCTGCGGGTTTATCGTGAGCATGTAGGGGCAGTAGGTGCAGTACTCCAGCATTCAAACTTGGAAGTTACAGAATCCACTTCAGTGGGAGAGAAGAGTACATACAAGCCTGTAGTACTGCTCTCTCCGTGTGGGATGATTCCAGATGGTTCGGCACAGTGGAAAGCTAGTTTGTTGCAGTCTAAAACTTTGAACGGTGGGGCAGTGTCACCAGTGAGAGCTAGTAAGAGAAACGTGTCTACTTCGGACCAAGACTCTTTGGAGAAGGCGATGAAGTTAAAAGCACGCAAAAACTTGAATGCATCTTCAGTCAAAGGTAATGAGACTTTGCCACACTCTTTTGATATTCTCGATGATTCTATGTTGCTGCATACAACTAGCTCGTTAGGAATCTCTCTTGGCTCTAATGAACAAGAAGTGTCTCTTTCTTTGAAAAGTTTAAGAGATATTGAATTTGCTAGAATGTCAGCAAACAATAGTTTAGAGGAAAAAAATAAAGCTATGTTGGACGATACTTTCACTGTTTGTTCCTTAGAGGAAAACATGGACCTAGAGGCTTTAAATTTAATTTGTGTAGAAAATTTTGAAGACCTAGGTGATGGGGGTTGTGACCCTTTGTGTCTACAGACCCTTATATCACATTCCAAAAAAATCTAGTTCCAAGCTTAATAAGAAAAAAATTAGACAACATTCTAGATGAAAGGAATTTTTTGGAATTGCAAAGGGTTTGCTGATACGAAAAAATATAGGTTCCTATCCGACTTGACAAAAGAAAAGGACTTAGATTTTATTGCATTATCGGAGACCGGGAGAGCCAACTTTCCGCAATTGACCTTAAATAATATCTGCGCGGGCAGAGATTTTCTATGGCATTGCATGGCTCCGAGGGGTCGGTCCGGTGGTATGATTCTAGGAATAAATCCTTTAACTTTTGGCATTGGCCAGATAGAAGAAGGAGATTTTTTTATTCGGTTCAAATTACGACATAAGGAGGATGACTTCAAGTTTAATTTAATCTCAGTATATGGCCCAGCTCAGTTAGATCTCAAATCACATTTCTTATCTGAGTTGGCTAGAGTATGTTCAAAAGAGACCGTACCTATTATCATAGGTGGTGATTTCAACATTATTCGTAGCCCAGATGAAAAAAATAATGAAAACTACAACGACAGATGGCCTTTTCTTTTTAATGTTGTTATTGACACGTTAAGTCTTAGAGAGTTGGAGATGGCTGGAAGAAAATTTACTTGGGCTAATTACCTGCAAAATCAGACCTTTGAGAAGTTGGATAGGATTCTAGTTTGTACGGAATTTGAATCCAAATATCCGCTTACAACCGTCCATGCTTTAAATAGAGAGATCTCTAATCACACTCCACTCTTATGTAGTACAAATAGCCCATCTCAGACTTACTAACCCCAGTTCAAGTTTGAATTGGGATGGTTGCTTAGAGATGGATTTTGTGACATGGTGCGAGATGTGTGGCATAGTGTTTTGGTCGACGGTAGTCCCTTAGAGAGGTGGCAAGCAAAGATCAGGAGACTTCGCCAATACCTCAGAGGCTGGGCGAAAAATGTGAGTGGCACTTATAAGAAAGAAAAGAAGGAACTGCTAGACAAACTCGATGAGCTAGATAAGAAGGCAGAGAACCTCCTGCTAAATGAGACGGAGTTAAATTTGAAACATGTGCTAAGTGAGAGACTCGCTGAATTACTTAGAGAGGAGGAAGTTAAATGGTACCAAAGGGCAAAGGTTAAGCACCTACTGGAAGGGGATGCTAATACTAAATATTTTCATTTGTTGGCTAATGGTAGGCATAAAAAAACTCGTATTTTCCAGTTGGAGGATGGTGACACTATAATAGATGGTGATGCTCAATTAAAGCAGCATATTACCAACTATTATAAAAACATGTTTGTCCCACCAGATAACTCTAATATGAAATTAGATGAACACCTTGTTCAGGATATTCCACAAGTATCTGAACTGGAAAATGAGTACCTGACTGATGTATTCACAGAGTCTGAGGTCAGGGCAGCAATTTTTCAGATGGAACATAATAAGGCACCGGGCCCAGATGATTTTTCACCAGAGTTTTATCCGGTCTTCTGGGACATGGTAAAAGAAGATCTGATGGCTCTGTTTATGGAATTTCATGAGGGGAACTTGCCTGTGCATAGTCTCAACTTTGGAACTATAATTTTATTACCAAAAAAGAAAAATGCGAAAGCCATTCAACAATACAGACCTATATGTTTGTTAAATGTTTCTTTCAAGATCTTTACCAAAGTTACGACAAATAGACTATCTACTGTTGCCCAGAAGATTATTAGACCAACACAAATGGCCTTTCTTCCAGGAAGAAACATTATGGAGGACGCAGTGATACTTCATGAGACAATCCATGAACTTCACTCGAAAAAATAGGACAGGATAATCTTTAAAATAGATTTTGAAAAGGCTTATGACAAAGTAAAATGAGACTTCCTACAACAAACTTTAAGGATGAAGGGCTTCTCGCATAAGTGGTGTTCGTGGGTGCAGCAGTTTACACAGGGAGGAAATGTAAACATTAAAGTGAATGACCAGCTTGGCTCATACTTCCAAACAAAAAAAGGATTAAGGCAAGGTGACCCAATGTCTCCAATACTATTCAATATAGTGATGGACATGCTGGCCATACAAATTGCTAGAGCTAAGGAAGCAGGTCAGGTAGAAGGAGTCATTCCCCATCTTATCCAAGATGGGTTGTCTATCCTACAGTATGCGGATGACACTATGATTTTTATGAGTCACGATGTTCAGAAGGCGGTTAATATAAAATTAATTCTAAGCACTTTTGAACAACTATCGGGGCTCAAAATTAATTTTCACAAGAGCAAAATCTTTTGTTTTGATAAAGCAATGGATCATGAGGTGTTTTATTCGCAGTTGTTTGGATGTGGATTAGGCAAATATCCCTTTCGCTACCTGGGTTTGCCTATGCACACTAGGAAATTGAGTAATAAAGATTGGAGGGTAATAGAAAATAGAATTGAAAACAAGCTTAGTGGGTGGAAAGGAAAGATGCTTTCGGTAGGAGGCCGCTTGGTCCTAATAAACTCGGTGCTCTCTAGCTTACCGATGTTTATGCTGTCATTCTTCGAAATCCCAAAAGGAGTTTTGGAGAAGATCGACTGCTTTAGATCAAGATTCTACTGGCAAAGCGAACAACACAAGCGCAAATATAGATTGGCCAAATGAAAAATCTTGTGCCAACCAAAATTACAAGGTGGCCTAGGTATTCATAATTTGGAGTTACAAAACAAATGTTTGTTGAGTAAGTGGCTTTTCAAACTTTTAAATGAGGATGGCTTATGGCAAGAGCTATTGAGAAATAAATACTTAAAAGACAAGACTTTAGGGGGCTGTAAAAAAGACCAACAGATTCTCATTTTTTGAAAGGTCAGGTGAATGTCAAAGACACTTTCATGAGTTTTGGTTCATTCAAAGTAAAAGACGGGTCACGGACTCGTTTTTGGATGGACACTTGGTTGGGTAGTCAACCTCTCAAAGATAAATTTCCCACGTTGTTCAACATTGTGAGAAGAAAGCAAGATTCCGTGGCAAAAGTACTTGCATCAGTCCCGCTGAACATTTCCTTTCGCCGCAATCTAGTGGGTCGGAACCTGAGGGACTGGCATAGAATCGTTGCATCTCTACAAGATGTGAACTTACAAGAAGAAAGAGATGTTTTTATTTGGACATTGCATTCATCATGTAGTTTTTCTGTTAAAATTTTGTATGCTGCATTAATTCACAATGGGGTCAAAGTGTCACAAGATTTATGACAGATCAAAATTCCTACAAGAATTAAAATATTCTTGTGGTATCTAAAAAGAGGTGTCATTTTAACTAAGGACAACCTTGCCCACTGTAACTGGAATGGTGACAAAAGATGCTGCTTCTGTCACTGCCCAGAAACCATTTAACACCTCTTTTTTCAATGTTATTATGCCAAATTCATATGGCGCGTTGTACACTTAATGTTTAGGATATCACCCCCATAGCATAGACGATTTATTTGTTAATTGGTCTAAAGCGGGTGGTAACATACATAATTTGTTATTATTAACAGCGGCATCAGCCTTATGTTGGACAATTTGGATAACGAGAAATGAAGTGGTTTTTGACAAGTGTAGACCGAAAACTTTTTTGCAGGTATTATTCAGGGGAACCCATTGGCTAAGGCAATGGGCAAGACTACAGCGGCATGATGATCTTCGAGACCAATTGACCCTTGCTGGACAGTATTTGGAGACGTCGGCATTGCATTTTTTTAGTTCCAATGGGTGGTTGTCATCTAGGTTTATTGGTCTATAGTAGTCAGGATCTGCTTCACACTTTGTTATCCTCGAGTCTGGTTGTAGACTCGTTTTGGTTCTTGTGCGTCGGCCGTCGGCCCAAACTTTTTAATAATAGGTCTGATTCTACCCTGGTGTAGATGAAGTCGGATATAAACTATCCTTTATCTAAAAAAAATGTAGGGGCAGTAAGTCAGGACGCCCATTGGTGGAACCCTCTGTGTTCATACCAATGTGGTTTGCAACGAGATTGTTATTTTTGTTTTTTTGCTGCTATTAGGTACAAACTCTTGTAATTTCGTTGCTTTCGAGTAATGAAATTCGGCTTTGCCGTTGTGGAAAAAAAAGCTACCAGTTTCATCGTGCAAAATGTTAAAAGAAACCATATCATATATCAAGACTTAAGTGAAACTATTATAATATTTAACTTTTTAGAATCATACAAACTGATTACCCAGGGGCATACTACCTATATGAATTCAGTATTGTACCTTCTCAAGCAAGGTAGAATTCAGTGTGTTTCCAACTATCCACAGAATGCGTGAAAGAATTTCATCAGGGAAAAGAGCTTCAGCCCAAGAAACAGACACACTGGTACGTAGAACAGCAGCCAAAAACCTGTCATACAAAAATATTATGTTGACTATGTCTACAGCAACTTTCAGTGGAAAACATTTGTTCTATCTCATAATCACTTGGCAGACTAGTGCAACCATACAATATCAAGCGACAATTGAAAAGCACAAGCACACGAGGATAAAAAAGGCACACAAGACCAATAACTTTTTGCAGAAATTATGCATTCACTGTTTTTTTCCCTATATATTCTTTTCTTTGCAGATTGACATGATAAGTTAGATATATGGTTGTCAAGTATAGAACATAAACCATAATTCGAACTTTCTTACACTAACTAAGTGAAAATAGCTACATGTTTACCAAAAGGGCTGTTGGCTAAAAAAAATTATCTGCAATGAGGCAAATGGAGTTAATGCAACTGTATGTCTGCACAGAACAAATGCCATAAGCATGACTAGTTTTGAGTGGGGACATTTGCATACTGCTATGGTAGAACCAAACTGGACCTTTTGCCTACTTCATAAACATTGCACAAACTGATTGTAAAGGAAACGTGAAACAACGTGATTCTCAGTACTTATCAGTCTGATAGTAATGGCTGTATTGAGATGCTAGATCTCTTTCACATGATTTGTTCCAAGATCACAGACCTTAAAAAGCTAAAATAATGCTGGTAAAGCAAACGATTTAGTGATGTACAGTGAGACAATAAAGGAAAAGGGAAACGGTTAACAGTGCACAAGTTTTATTTTAGCAAATCAGATACCAAGAAGGCAATGCATGGTAACCATAATTAGATTAAATCTACACCATAGTATTGAAAACACAACCTGAATATTTCAGAAAGGCAAGCAGAGTCATCTAGAAACAGCTGATCCACAACCGTAGCAGTCAAACCATTGTGCAGGCTGATAGCATTAACTAGAGATTCATGACAGGCTAGGTTTCCCAGGATTCCAAGACAGATTTCCTGTAAGGATAAGACATCCAATATATAACTGAGATAATGATTATAAAAAATGTGGGACAGTGGGGGCAAGAATTAAAAAAAGGTAAGTTTTACTTCACCTTTACTCTAGGGGATTGAGTCACATGGAGGTTCGCCAAAAGCACTTCAAGTACAAGATTGTTCATCTACAAGAATTAAAGATCTGTTTTGTCAGCAAGCACTGGATCCACTTACACTACAAGCTACTTATATTGAAATCTCAGTGCAAGGTCTTTAGTTTTTTTTCCACTCCTTTTCTTTTGTAAAGAAAGCATAGATGAGATAACAAGCTAGGCATAGCATAACAATCTATTGTAAACATAAGTAATAAGATACTGATAACTCACCATGAGTTCTGCTTGAGGTTTACTAGCTGCAAGGTCCCACAGAATGCAACCACACTCTTCCCATGGATCCTTATATAATCAGGTTGTGCTGATTCCCCGTTACTAGAATTTGCATCCTTCTCTTCCGGGACACCTTGCTTCACACTGTTTAGTATCATAAAGTCATATTGTTTGCTAACATACAACTTTCGCCTCCAAACGCATCGCTTACCTGAACTCTTTCTCCACATTGGAACTCTTTTTGTCTTCATGTAATAGGCTCAGTCTGTAAGGGTTTGGTGGTGAGCGCCCCCCCTGCTTTCTTGTTGTATCGTTTGTGTTTGTGGGATTGCGCTGGTAATTCTAGGATTACCGGCTAGTCCTTTGTAACAAAAAAAAAACTCTGCTTCTGCTTAATGAAATCCGTGCCTGAGGTACGTTCGAGAAAAAAAAGGGAGATAGTGTAGCTGGGATCAACTGTTGTCGTGTCATCAAGCAGCTGCAGGAAATTACAAGCAGGAGATTGAGCAGAGCACCGGAAACGCCAGCCAAACACTTCTTTCCAAGACTTTGGCTAAAAGAAAGTCGTCCATAATCGATGGCCACACGAAGGTCACCAACTGCTGCACTGAGGCGCCGTCCTCTGAGGGTTCCTCTGCCGCGCAGATGCTCGACGGCATCCGCTTCCAGCGCGCCTGGATCCAGGTCCCCAAATTAACCTCCTCTCCTTCCTTCCTCTCTCCCACCTGCATTTTGTTTGTCGTAGCCTGAGGACTCGCAGCGGCAGGGTGTGATCCTGTCAGCGGACTACAACGAAGCCGGCGATGGGCGCTTGTTGCTGGATGACGGGTCCTGCATCGCCGACCTCTTCGTCTTGCCCATAGAAGCAGAGGGCGGGTACTGGCGGCCAGGTTCCGGTTCTTAATCTTGCTAGGTTTTTTTTTTATCTTGCCTTATGTTGTGAGAAACCATAAATTCCATGCATAGCTCTCACATAATCGAAATATTATTCAATTATATTATTCTTAGTAATCTTGAAGAATGAAGAGTGACTATTTGCATAGATGTTAATATGCTATCCCCTCGGTCCTAAATTACATGTCACTGAATCTTTGTCCTACATCAATCTTCTCAAACTGACCAAGTTACAAAAATGTATTAACATCATTCAAATAAATGCACTATTAAGGCATACTTCATGGAGAATTTAATAAAATTAATTTGATGTTGTAGATGTTGGTGTATTTTCTTATAAAATTTGTCGAAGTTAAGTTTAAACTAGGATAAAGCTAAAGTGGCTATATTTTGGTACAGAGGGAGTATTCTGTTTGCATTCTATAAATGGTAGGTTGTTTTCTGGGTTACCTTTTTTTTACACTGGCTGATGACCGCTCTAGAAGGGCGGGCCTAGTGCAAGCGGTAGAGTCTTACCGCCTGTGACCGGAAGGTCCCGGGTTCGAGTCGCGGTCTCCTCGCATTGCACAAGCGAGGGTAAGGCTTGCCACTGACACCATTTACCAGACTCCGCACAGAGCGGGAGCTCTTTGCACTGGGTACGCTTTTTTTTTTCTCTGATGACCGCTCTTGTGCTGTAGGGATGTATGTAATGGTTATTGGTGCATACATTGCAGCAGAGTCCAAGGACAATTATCCAGCTATCAAGGTGCCATATTCCTTACTAGTCGCTCCTCATGTCTGCCCCTGTCTTCTTGTATTCCTTTTTCCAACCGTTTACCGAGTATTGGAGTTCCTCAGTACTAAGAATTGGAGGTTCTCTTTATATGATCTTTGTTCTTTAATATTATTGCAAACTTCATTTTGAATGATCCAAAAAAAATCAATTCAGCGAACTCATGTTTCGTCAACCCTAGCTGATGCTTCGTTGACTTAGAGGAAGTAGAAAAGAAAAGCGTATGTAATTTTCACTTCTTAGGCTGAGCTCATTGCAAATTATGCTAATACATTCCAGTGATGAGGAACAAATTTTACTAGTTTTACTGTTAGGAGCTGCTTAGCATCGAACTTAATTACATCCGGGAAAACAGGGTGCTATGATAAATTGATAAGTCTTTACTCTTCACATAACATGCCACTCCTTGATTTCTTAAGACGTTTGATTGAGCCGGTCTGCATATAAATTATAAGATTTTCCTGTCATCATTTCTAGAAAATAAAGGGACATTTATAATAGTTATTCACATTACATAATTTTATTTGTGTGCTCTATACACAACAAAGAGGCTGTTTTTCTGACATGTAATGTTCCCAATGCTTCTTTAAATCCACCAATCGAGTGCTCTGATGGTTCTTGTGAGGGAAATTTGTTTATGATCCATGTTGGCGAATCAAAGATATCAATCTTTTTGAGTAAAGCAGCTATCTAATTCCTTAGCCAGTCAAAGTGATCTATGAACTTGATTATTATGGCAGGTGCATAAGATGGTGGACCTCTCTTCTCAGCCAGACCGTGAAGTAATGTGGTACATGGAAGTAGCTGAGGCTTACAACTTATTTTACTTGCCATTCTCAGCCGCTGCTACTCCCCCTCCCCCGTCATGAGCCATGGCCGGCTGTCCCTTTTCTCCGGTTGCTTCGGCACCTTGCTTATTAGCAGTAATTGCTCTAAGCAACTCTCCTAAATATTTAGTGATCCTGGCTTGTATCACCATCGTTGTACTGATCCAGATATAAATCACCATGCTAAACAGTTCATTATGAGCATCATCATGCTTAGAATAAATAAACTTGAATTGTAGGGCTAAGCCCTGTTTTGAGCCTTGCACGCCCACCCCCCCGGATAGACGGCCTATGTTTGACCACCACGTCAGCATCACTGACTTGAGTCAACCACGGTCACACTCGCCACGTAGACTCGGTCAGACCCACCAGCCGTCGTCCACCTCCGTCGGCGTGGTCGTCCCTGTCGACGAAGCCGAAGAGACGAGATGGGACTATGGGAGACAGGAGAGTTCGGATTTTGCATTTCCACCGAGCTCGGTCTTTCCACGTTGGCAAAGAGCCAAAGACATGCCGTCCAGATTGGACACCTTTTCCACTGACGCAACGATATCTTTCAAAAAAAAAAGAAGAGAAAAAGATGCTAAAACAAAAGACAAACAAAAGACGCCGGCGTCTCGTCGCCCCAAGCTGAGTAGGAACTATTATCCATCGCGACTTGTCGCTCTTCATTAAAAAGATCTAATTATTTGCCACTTACGGAGGCCGCCTCTCGATTGTCAACTTTGTGGTGGACAAAAATATCGGAAAATAGTAACTCACCTAATTTTTTGCCATTTTTTGCGGCGTGGGATGCCGATCGGCCCAGCCCAACTTGGGAACGGGCCTTTTTGAAGACCGAATCCAAAGACCATTACGCCTCGCCGTGTATTGCTTAACGAGCGCGGTTTGGACTCTATGTGTTCATCCCAACGGTTTCTGCTGGTGCTCAAAAAAATCCAAACTGTCATGTTGTCTTTAAATATTCCTCCTCTCTCTCTTTTCTACATCGGAGAACGAGCTTCAAAAAGCCCACCTCCTTTAAAAACTCAAAATTCCATAATAGTCTAGAAAGTTGTCTTCAATATCCCTACATCAAAGATCTCCTAATTTTTATATAAAAATTATCTTCATTTAATGGCAATGAACCGAGCTCCATGATTTGATATGATTCATATCCTTAAAAAACTGGAAAAATTATATATTTTTTGCGGAATTAAATGAAAATTCTTTTTTATATAAAATTAATTATGCCGAGCCGCCATTGTCGGGTCGGCTCGAAATCGATCTCCCACCTCCCACCACCTCTGGACTCGATCGGTTCTTTTTCGCCAGAGCTTTTTCATTCATCCGTGGCCGCGTCGTCGAACTCCACCGAGCTCCGCCACCACCGTCCGCCCGCACCTCTTAATGAATTCGTCGTCTACCACCCGATAAACGCAAAGAGGACCACCAACATACACGCCGCCGCGGTTTCTTCTTCCTTTGCATTGGTCATGACGAGTCGCAGAACGACGACGCCGTCGAGCCCCCTCGCCGACAGGAGCACCAAGAACGGCTGCTCATTGTGAAGGCCCGAGCAGAGCAGCTCCTCTTGGCCATCCGTTTCGAGATCGAAAAAAAAACCGTTGGTCAACCAAAGTCATGTTGAGGCCACATCATCTTGGCGTCGCGCCATGGCTGAATCGGCGACCACGTTTTTTGGCTATTCACACGTACAAACTATCGATCTAGCCCTCGAGATCCTTTTTAATGGCGCGCGAGGATATTCCCACAGTCTTTTATTATCCACCGCGCACTTGTCGCATGCTCGCTCGCGAACTGGTACCCGGGATATTTTTGCCAACGCCTACCCACGTGCCAGCATGCCCAGCCGATGGGATGGAGGATCGGACGGCCCACGTCTGCCCAGCCGAGGAGGAGGATCGGACGGCCCGTGCCACCAATTCAACCACAGGTCCGGATAGCGTCTCGTCCTCCCGCTCCCGCCTCGCTCCCTCCGTCGCCTTCTCCAACGGGAAAATAGCCATTACCGAAGGCCGTCAGCAGCGTCGGGGGAGAAATTTCACCGCGCGCGATCCCGCGATTGATGCCCCCGCCATGGCGTCCGTGCCGCTGTCCACGCCGTCGCAGGCCGGCCTCCTCGTCCTCCCGTTGCCGCTCCTGCAGCCGGCCGTCGGCGCATGCCTCCGCTACCGCCTGCCGAGGCTGCCTCCGGGGCTCTCGAGCGTGAGGAAGGGAAAGCTCCTGCCGCTGCCGCTGCGGCTCCTGGTGCCTCCCCGGGCCGTGGAGGGCAATGACGGGCGGGCCGTGACCAAGGAGGAGGTGGAGGAGGAGGGAGTGGAGGTCGAGGTGACCAAGGAGGGCGAGGAGGATACTCAGGAGAGAGGAGGTTCTGGTGCCACGAAGCAGGAGGCGGCAAGGGGTTCGGAGCGGTTCGCGGCGGACTACGTCCCGCTCGGCATCAGGGAGCCCGTCTACGAGGTAAGCGGCCAGCAAGCTAGCCAGAAATCCGCAAATGTCTTCTCACTGATTGTTCACATGCTGTTTCATATTCCATTGTTGCCAGCCAGTGAACACTTTTTGATCTGAGCATTGCGTATCTGAGTCTAAATAAGCATACGTGCTTTTAGGTTGGCTTTATGATGGATTGACGATATCTGGCCGTTAGATATTTTGTAATTTACAACCTTGCAAAATACATATGGTCATTAACCTTCGTCCTGAAATTAACTTTATCCAGGCGATAGAAGTGAGATCTAATGGGAGGATGTCCAACAAGAAAATAAGCAGGCGGCAGCTACTGAAATCTAGTGGTATGCACAAGGAACATGTTTCTCAGCAATGTGCACATGCCACATACATCAACTTTGTTTTGCACTACTTTTAACTGTAAAATGCCCAATTAGTGTAATTGACTATCTATCTTATGATTCCAAGCACACGCAAAGACTTCTTCTGATTTCCATCTTTTGTCATGCTAGGTCTTCGCCTACGAGATACTAGAAGCGTTGACCCATCACTATGGTTAATGAATTCAATGCCTTCCCTGCTGGTAATAGAACGGTTTTATATATAGCTGTGTTGAGTTTCTTTTGTTTATGCTGTACTGTATTTTCCAGTTGTATACTGATGATCAATATTACCATGATGTAAACACTAGATGACTAGAGTCTGAAAGGGT